GCACCGTACCGCGGTTAACTGCGGTTTATTTTAAACCTCGCGGTGTTCAATGGTGTCACCGCAGTCTCCGTCAAAAACCGCGTTTATCGGCGGTATTTATTTAAACATTTTTCCGTGGGTAAACGCGAAGTCAATCAAGTAGTGCTTCTTAATAAAAAGAATCCAGTGAGCTGTTGTGAAATTCCATCAAATAAACCCATATTATCATTTGAAAAGAATCTTCAATTACCTGAAACAATCTTAATACATTTCTTAGAAGTTAAATATGAAAATTCACCAGAAAAAGGACTTTTATTTCAGAAAGTTCCACTAGATCGAGGTTCAATTGAAACTTTTTGGTCACGTCCGTTTAATATTGTATTTGTTGAATTCTCTCTTGTTGATTATTATTTGATACTAGTTAAAGAAATTCTTTTGTTTATGTCCAGATTTTGGCGATGAATGGCAAGGAAATTGTTTTGAATTTAATTCGACAGCAAAACATGATTGTTAGGGGGAAAAGTTAATGTGAAAATGATGGGCAACGTTTACACGATAGTTCAATATGTCCACAAACATCAATTTGTATTTGTAAACAATGTTTTTATGGTAGAAAGTATCAATTTAGTTCAACAGATCATAGTTTATTTCTTGATTCAATTCTTAGTTATCACATTCGCCCGCAAATTCATCTTTTTCATCAACCAATGATTATTAAATTTAGTTTTGCATTGACTATTCTTTTGGCTTGTATTAGATTTCTTAATAGAATTTTATCTTTATGGTTCATCAATAAGTACTTTATCTACCATAAAGATGTTTTCAATGAAATTCTTTTTTTTTTGTTGTTATGTGTACAAATGAATTGGAATACAAGCTGAGTTTTTTCTCAATTCAATGTCGATCAATTGATTACCTGTTGAGAGTTGGTCTTTACATGGATCAATGGTTAAATTCTTGCATTTCGTTTGAACGAGCAATAACAGCAATTCAAGTTGTAAAATTTGATAAGAAGAAAAGTCGAAAAGTATCTAGATATATTAGTGTTGCTCTTCTTTTTGTGATCACTTCAACAAATCAAATTGATCCATTATATTGACGTCTTATTGATGAAACAAATAATGATGAACGAAGAATTTAGTGTGTTGTGATTTATTCTTTCCATATTCAGAAATTAAATTTAGCAATGAACATTATTCATTATTCAGTACCTTTTCTTATAAAGATTATTTCTTCAATTATAATTATTATATAAACAGCCTGTTTTCGTTCAACTTCTCGAAAAAATTAAACTTATCAAGAAGTTTTACTGAAACAATTTCAAGAGCATAAACATCTTTTGATGACTTCAATTTTATTAATTCTTCTTACCTTACGACGTTTAATCATTACATTTGCAGCTAGCTGTATGAAAACAATAACACATACTTGGTTATTTCTTCTTGAATATTTTATTTCCTTTTTACCACCAAGGCTTATTTTTCTTATCTTTGTTATTCCATCAAAAGATTATACAAAAGAATTTCGTACAACAATTACTCGTTATCAAGAAACAATAACAAAACGTTTTCGTTCGAATTGAAATTTCCTAATAGAAAGCTAGGTGATATTTTTGATCATCTTATAAGTTAAAATTACGATAAAATGTTATTCAGCTTATTCATACATTCATTCATGTTGTCTACACTTTTATTTCGCAGAATTGTTTTTTCATTCTTTTGATTAAAATAATAATGGTCTTTCTTCTTTCTCTCTAAAATGAATTTTTAAAATCAGCTATGATGGCAGCATTCGCATCGAACAATTTCGCGGAAAAAAGTATTTTTCACTACTTTTCGTAGAAATAAAATAGAGTATGTAATTTTACTTTGAGTATTTAAGGAAAGGTATGATCTGTTCTGGGAGGCATTCTAATCACGGTGATACTACAATAATCTATGTATTCGAATTATCGTACTCTAGGACTATTTGTTTCTCATTATATTTCTAGATTTCTTCTTTTATCTTCCATTATAACTTTATAAACATGGAAACCAAAATCGAAATGAAAGGTATAGAAACTAAAGAGTTTTGTATTTTGTTTCAATCATATTTTATTCATAATAATTCTGATTGACAAAAATTTGATTTAAAAGTGTAAGTATTGAGTACAAACATTTGCGTAGCATACAAAAAATTGACGAATCATATACTCTTTTTGTTATTTAGGACCAATAGACACTATTTCATCGAACGATACATCTGTTGGCAGGCTGAAGAAATTACCTCAATTACGAGGTGGTGGTTCTTGTCGCGAACATTGTTCTACTATTATTTGTATTCTTATTTGTATGACTATTGGCTTTACTATTTTTGCTGCCGCCGGTGGCGTTTATATTAGTAATAATAGTAATGTGGTTGCTCTGAACGTTACTATTGCTGGTACTGTTATTTTGGCCTTTTCTATTCTTATCTGCGTTGGTTTTATATGCAAAATTTGTGCTGATAGTACTGATCGTCATTGTGGTTGTCATCTTTGTTGTTGTGACTAATGAAATAAACGACATGAAAGGAGTTATTTCAGTTTGTATTATCTTTCTGCTTTTTATCAATATATTATGCCAATAAAGATTTTCCTGACCATATGCAGAGTAGTGTAGAAATCGTTAACTCGATTCGAGTATTAAACCACTTCTTCGAGTTTTCCGCTTCCGAACTCGTAAGTAGTTGATCGTAAATTCTTAAGTGACTGATTATTAACTATTATGTAACTGTTAATTAAATATTAACTAACAAATTACTTATTATCAATCAACGGACTATGACGTAATCGGCACCTGACTAAACCCCCCGACACATTAAAAGATCCCCCCAAATTAGAAGACTCCCCCGATTAGAAGACCCTCTCCGA